CAGAAAGATCTCAGCTCTTGAGTGGTTGCTATCTGACTGACACACACACACACACACACACACACACACACACACACACACACACAACTTAAATAGCCACTTGCCAAAAAAACTACTACTTATGCCTAAATACAAAAAAGGACCATGTTTAGGTCCAGCAAAACGGCTTTGCAGACAGAAGGTACTTGCTGCCAAGGCTGACAATCTGAGTTTGCTATCTGGGGTCTATACAACGGAAGGAGAAAACTTACAAGCTGCCCCCTGATCTCAACTTACACACATACATACTAAATAAATAGATGTAATAATTTTTTTTCAAAAGAGCACTGGCTACTCTCTGATATATACCAAAAGAAGTTACTAAAAAGAGAAGTGAAACCAAAACCAACCACAAAGAGCTACACACTAGATGTGCTCAGAGTGTGTATGGGGGGCGTACATGCATGGCATTCCTTAAAATGTTAAAAGGGCAAGAACCATGAACCATGTTCTACAGTGGGTAGCTCCACTCTAGGGCCTGGGAGAGACCCAGGCCAATCAAGAATGCTTCTCCATAGTATTAGTTGGCAGGCCTTTGAAAGCTTCACTGAAAGACTCCAATTAGACACATTGTTTTCTTCAGTTTATAGATGAGAAACTCCAGTCTTGACAGATGTCTAGGTGGTGGTGGTGTTTGTTTAGAAATAGGGTTGCCCTATCTCCCAAGCTAGCCTTGAACTCATGAAGTTTCTGCCTTAGCCTTCCATATATTGCGACTGACATTATGTACCATCAGTCTAGCTCAACCATCAGTTGACAGAGGACAGAGTTAAAATTCTACACTGCGGAGGACATCAAGATCATGATGGGAGGACGTGCAGAGATGACCCGCCACACTAGTGGAAGCCCATGAACTGTAGACTGGTGGCCGTGGAGCCCCCAGGGGACTGGACTAGGCCCTCTGGATATGGTTTGGCTCAAACTGTTTGGGGGGCACCCAGGCAGGGGGATCGGAATCCGTCCCTGGTGCATGGACAGGCTTCTGGAATCCAGTGCCTGTGGTGTGACACCTTGCACAGCCTTGGTACAATTGGAAGGGGCTTGGACCTGCTTAGGCTCAGTGTGCCAGACTCTGCTGACTCCCCATGGGAGACCTTGATTTGGGGGATGTGGGGTAGCTTGGGAGGGAGGGCTGGAGGGTGGGAGGAGAGAGGAGGGGTGTGTGTGGGTGATATGTCGAGTGAGTAGAAAAATGAAAAGAAAAAAAAATGAAATAAAATTCTACACTGTCCACCTTTTACACTCAATTTTATAAATCTCCCTTTGCCTGTAGTTTGCCAGGTACCAGACACAATCACAGACATCATCACAGCTAATCCTCATTTCCACCCTGCAGGGAAGTTTTATCCATTTCATTCTAGAGCAGTGACAGGCTGGCTTAGGAAAGGTAAGCCAGGCTGCTCTCGCCTGTCATCCATCACACAAGTTTGCCTTGAAGAGAGGCAATTTCTTTCCCAAGATGTCCTAGAAATTGATCGCATGTTTTAGAACCAAATGAAGACGCTTCCCCACAGGGCTACTTACCAGAGTGGGAAGGAAGGACATGAGTTTTTCAAAAGCCCTGAGGAAACTGGAATCCCCCCATCTTATGACCACTTACCAAGCAAACCAATGAACATATTCACAATCCCCAGGACCCCCAAACCTACTGCATCGCCAGAGTCTGCTCAGACCATTCAGCTACCTCTGTAATCCCAGCACTAGGGAGGCTGAGTCAGGAGGATTTCAGTGAGTTTCAGGCCAACCTGACCTACAAAACAAATCCAACTCCACTCCAAACAAAAACAAAAAACAAAACAAAAAAAGCCTTTGCTAGGTCCTGCTCATGATTCTTAGACCACCTCTCAGGATTGGGTGAAAAATAACAACTTCCTCTGCACTTGGTTCCTCCTCCAAAAAGCTGCTGAGCCTCATCTGGGAACAGCTGGGAGCAGCAGTTAACAGGAAACCAAACCAAACAAAACAAAAAAAAGCACAGAGTGTACCAGAGAGCTAGGCAGTAGAACCAAGAGCCCACGGAACAGGCTGGAAGCTGGAGTTAGAAAGAACCCAGGCCATAAACAGTCATGCAGAAGACCCAGCTGGCCTTCCTCCCAGGCCAAGCAGAAGAAACCTGGACACGAAGTGGAGGCTCTGAGCCTATGCAAGAGTAAGCCAGAGCAGTTCTGAACGATTTCCTCCCCCACTGGGAGCTCACTTCTCTGAAAGCAGCTGGTGGCCATGACAGGTAAGCTGACTTCAGAAACCCAGCTTCCTCTAGTTTCTCAGTTAATATGTACCGAATGTCCATACTGCCGATTAAACTCAGCAAAGGCCACATCAGCCTCAGACTTCATAGGAAGTTAAGAGCAGACGCCCATCCAGGAACCTTCGGTGGTAAACCTAGGTACTAGTACCAGACATGAGGCTAGGCTAGACCTGCGGAGTGGTAACAGAAGCAAGTGAGCCCAGAGGCTGGAGGGACCGAAGAGCAAGGTGAGCTGGTTACACCAAACTAGTAATACATTTTGCAATCAAGAAAATTAACTCAGTAATGGCCAGGTGCCAAAATATTTCTGAAAGAAAAGGGGAGGTGGAATTACTGTTGGTGTTATTTAATAATCCTTTAGGTCATCCAGATAGAGCGCAAAGGGAGACTGGCTTATTTTCCCTTGGCAGAGCTTACTAAGTGAGACCTTTCTAGCCCAAGCCTCCAATGGCTCAAGCAGCTTTCTTTCCCTATACATGGAGAAGTTTATATTAAAGTGAAAAAAAAAAAAAAAGAGGATTACGCTCTCTTAATAAAACTCATTCCTGTCTCCTGCCTCTGGTTTTGTTTGAAAAGCCTTTCTCAGAGAGTAGCTTATGCTGTAATCGAACTGAGTCTGATTCCAATACAGGCGCTCAATGTAAGAGCCTGAAGCTGCCCAGGACTCCAACTCCACTGTCTGTTTAAAAACAGACTATCTTCACAGGCTCAGTGCCAGCTCATACTGGCAGGGTCTAAGAACCAGAGCCAAGACTGACCAATGTGCCATGTGAGGGTGCTAGACGGAAGAGCTAGGCCACAGGAGTAAGCCATCAGGGAAACCTCCACAAGAGGAAATGGGGTGAGGGTACATTTCAGAGACACAACAAAGGAACAAGTTGACTAATCATTTATTCCAGAGGGGAAAATGCCATCCAGAGCCAACTATCTACTATTTTAACTTCAGGCAATTGAGTAATGCTTTTAATTTGGATTTATCAGGGCTCATTATCTATCTCCCTGAGAGGGGAGGGGGAAGGAGAGGGGGGAGGGAGGAAAGGGGGGAGGGTTGCTTGAAGACCAGCCTCCTGAAGCATGCATGACCAGTCTCAAAAACCAAAACAATAATAAACACCATAACGTGTGATATTTATGTATGAAAATGTGATACGAAACCTACTATTTTGCAGGCTAGCTTTAAAAATTAATTCAAAAGCAAAACCAAAACTGGGCTGGCCACGGCAGCACATGCCTATTATCACAGCCCTTGGGAGGCCAAAGCAGAAGGGATCCTGCAAGATCGAGGCCAGCCTAGGTCATAGAGTGAGTTCCTGGATACACGGGTCTCAAGATAACACAAAGAGGACTAGGAATATTCCTACTCCTCCTTCCCCGGTCTCTAGAGTCGCCTGGGAAACTTCTCCCACGCTGCCAGCTGTGTAGGGCTCACAAAGCCCAAGCTAGTACAGTTACTAAAGCAAGAAGCCCCATCCGCAAGGATCCCAACAGAAGCTACAACACCACACTGGGCAGCTCCCGCCACTAGCAGGGATTCAGAGAAGGCCTGTGGCTGAGGGAGAAAGACTACCCGAACTGAATGCCTAACAGACACACTGGCAAAGAGGGAGAGGGTGGAAAGAAAGGTTAACCCTCCCGGGAAAGGCATGTCTGTGACTTTGAAAACAAGAGATCTTTATCCAAAGCCCAATCCCCGTTTCAGGACAGTGTCTGGGATGTCAGACTTACAAACAGACATCTCAAACATACATCATTTTAGGGCCAACCAGAAAACCCTCGAGCTAGACCTGGGCATGGGAGGCATAGGTTTGTGATCCCAGAACTTGGAGAAGTGGAGGCAGGAAGGTCAGGAGGAGTTCAAGACCAGCCTGTGCTACAAAACCAAGTTTGAGAGGCGCCTGGGCTACATGAGACCCTGGCTCAGAAAGAAAAAAGAAAAGAGAAGAGAAGAGAAGAGAAAAGAAAAGAAAAGAAAAACCTTCCAACTTGCCAGGGAAATGGACTGCACCTCCAGCAGTCAGAACTACAAGTCCTTCTAAAGTGCATCAAGGAGCCCTGCCTCAGAACTTCCCAGTACAAGAGCTGGGAGAGAACGAACCCACGGACAATCAGGAAAAGTCGCTAACATTTAAGGAGTGCCAAAGACACACTCCACCTATCTCAATCCACCCCTGGCACAGCCCTCTGGAGGTCGATACCACCATCACCCCCTCTTCATAAACGAGGAAATAGGCTCCGAGGCGTTACACAATCCTTAGATAGTGGCAGCCAGCGCCCTAAAACACCCTGGACAGGTGATCTTAACCGTTGGGTGGTGCTGGAAACACACAAAGCAGTGGAGGGAAGGGGTCCACGGAGCCAGGTAAAACAACAGCACGCCAACTCTAGCTGCACCTAATTCTTCTTGTCCAAAACCGGACCCACGGGCACCAGAGGAGGGGAGGGCCTGGATGGGGAACCGAAGCCGGAAGAACCCAGACACTGCTGACTGGGGTTACAGGCCAGAACCCCGGCGCCTCTCCCAACGTGGGGTGGAGGGGAGAGACCCCAGACCCACAAATCCTCCTGGAAGCAGCCCCCGAAGGGACAGCGTGACGCTTAAACGGCCACGATGGTTTTGTCAGAGAGAAGCTGGAGGGAGGATGGGGGGCGCGGGGAAGGGGGGAGCTCGGCCAGGTCCGGGCGCGGGGAGGGGGGCGTCACCGGGTCCCCCTACCTGTAGGCCAGGGTCATGCACTCGAAGAGCTTGGTGAGCGAGGCATCAATGGACAGGTGGCAGGAGCTGGTCTTGCCGAAACTATAGGTCTGGCACGTCTGCTTGTTGACCGTGTCGAAATCGTAGCCCTTCTTGGGCGGGTGCTCGCGGTGCGGGGAGGACACCATGAAGTGGCCGCTGTGGATGATCTGCTGGCGGCGCGGAGGCTCCTCGCGGCCCGGCCCGGCCCGGGGCGGCAACAGTGCGGCGCTCGCGGGGGCCCGGGCCGCGGGGGCCACGCCGGAGGCGGGCGGCGGGGACGGCTCGTCGGTGTCCGAGTCGTCGTCGTCCTCCGGCACCTGAGGCTTGAGCAGCCCCGAGCGGCCCCGACTGCGGGGCCGGCGCGGAGAACACATGAAAACGTCGGCAGCCATGAAGAGAGCCTGGTCCGGGGCATCCCCCGGGAGCCGGGACGACGTGGAGCCGGGAGGCTGCGGGGACCGAGTGGAGGGGGAAGCGGAGGTGAGGGTGGGGGGGGGAAGAAGAAGCCGGCCGCGGCCCGGCCCTCGCGCAGACTGCCCGGGAACGCGCGGCCCGAGGGGGAGGGAGGGAGGGCGCCGGCCCCCTCGTGATGTCACGGCCCGTCTCAGCCAATCAGAGGCCGGCGTCTCCCTCTTAAAGGCGCAGGGGAACCTTTCCTTATCTAGGCGGACAAAAAAAAAAAAAAAGCAGCCGGAGGCCACGCCTCCCTGGCCGGGCCCCTGGCTATCCTCTCTCCCCTCCGGGCGGGCTCCGGAGCGGAGGGACGGGAAAGCCAGGCCGCCGCGCCCCTCCCAGGGTCCGGGCGCGGGGAGGTATTGGCTCTCCCCTCGGTCGGTCTGGCCCCAGCCCCTGCCCCGCCTCCGCCACGCCCGGAGCTCGGGGATCGCCCCGAGGCCTCCCTGCTGGCACTCCACGTGGTGGGTAGGGGTGGGGCTCCGTCGTCCTCCTTCTGGGTCTCTGGCCTGCTTTCTCCCTCCATACCCGGAACTGAGTCCTCCAAAGCCTTCCTGATTTTGTACAAGGCGTTAAGACTCCCGTTCCCATTTTGTGGATGCGAAGGTTGAGTCGCCTGGACTCTTAAGGGATGTGCCTAAGGTTCCGACCGGGAGGAGCAAGGCTCACGGAGTCCTCCCCTCCATCCTTAGAGCAGGAAACTGGCTCTCCCGGGTTAAGGCAGGTCCCCTGGGCTTCGCCATAGAGTCCTGCTGTGGCCCACAGCAGTCTGCCTCCAGGCCCAGCAACTTCAGCTATAAATCAAAATACTGTCGCTATTGTTTTGAAGTTTGGCCCAGAGACCAAATTCCTAAAGGGGAAGTTCTGGGCTTTCTTTACAGCCATTCCTATGCCTCAGAAAGTTGTATCAAACCTAAAAATAGCAATGAGCCAGTCATGGTAACGCATGCGCACGCCAGCAGTCCCAGCTGGAGGGAAGCAGAGGCGGTAGGATCAGAAGTTCCCGAAATCCAGGGCTGGCTCCAAAAACATGCGACCAAGTCTCAAAAAAAAAAAAAAAAAAAAAAAAAAAAAAAAAGTTTTGTTGTTTTTGTTTTGTTTTGTTTTGTTTTGTTTTAAATGAAGTCCAGTGAGATGGTTCAGCACATTAAGGCACTTGCTGCCAAGCCTGACCCTAGTTCCAGCTCGGGGACCCACATGATAGAAAAGGACTCCAGCAAACGGTCCTCTGACCTCCATACTGTGGCATCCGTGCCTCCCACAATAAATAAATATTTTTTTAAAGGCTTTTTTAGACAGGGTCTCTATGTAGGTCCTTTTGTAGACCAGGCTGGCCTCGAACTCAAAGATCCTCCTGCCTCTGCCTCCCGAAAGATTTTTTTTTTTTAATAAAGAATAAGGCCAGTATCTTAGCACTCAGGAGGATCAATCCAAGTTCAAGGGCAACCTGGTCTATACAGGGTGTTCCATGCCAGCCAGGACTACATATAGAGAGATCTACCTTTTAAAAAAGTGGAAGCTGGGAGATTATAAGACAGGAGAGGTCCAGGATGGCTTCTGTATATAACAGGGAAGCTACACCCATGAAATCCCCATGACCTAAACAAGACCTACAAAATGGTGACACCAATTGACATACCAACATGGATTGGGGAAATATCACAAGGCCTCTCTTCTAAATGAAGAGTTAAGATAATTAATGGCTGCTGAGAGAGAAAGAACCAATCTTCTACAGAGAGAAGAAAGAAGGGTTATCCAAATAGTCACCACTAAATACACAGAGCAACACTAAATGGACTGAGCAGGCTATATTTATATATGCATATGTGTGCCTACATGTTTAAAAATAATAATTAAAGAAGAAGGGGTCATATTTCAGAGGGAGTGAGAAGCCAAGAGAGGAGTTGGAGGGGGGGAGAGGGTGGGGTGTAAATGATGTAAATGCAGTTCTCATGTGTGATATTATATTTAAAAGTGTAAAAATCGGGCATCATGGTGCCTTTAGTCCCAGCACTTGCGGGGCAGAGACATGTGGATCCATGTGAGTTGAAGGCCAGCCTGGTCTCCAGAGTGAGTTCCAGGACAGCCAAGGCTACAGAGAGAAACCCAGTCTCTAAAAAAGAAAACAAAACAAAAATACCCATGTATCTCACAACCATATATAATGGGAATCAATGCCCTCTTCTGGCCTGCAGTCATTCATGCAGACAGAGCTCTCAGATAGATAGATAGATAGATAGATAGATAGATAGATAGATAGATAGATAGATATAGATATATGATACATATATACATACATACATACATACATACATAATAACAAAACCTGAAAACCATAGTTGGGTTATGGCTGGCACAGGTAGCCCCCCCAGCTACTAGGAACACTGAGGCAAGAGTTCAAGACTAGCCTAGGCACCGGGGACAGTGGCGCGCACCTTTAATTTCAGCACTTGAGAAGCAGAGGCAGGCGGGTCTCTTGGAGTTCCAGGCCAGCCCTGTGTACATAGTGAGTTCTAGGTCAGCCAGAGCTACACAATGAGACCCTGTCTCAATGAATAAATAAATGATTCGATATTTTCTATATTGCCCAGGTCTCTCAGGGTTTCTGGTCCTGTGATAAACACTACGACCAAAAGCAACTTGAAGAGGAAAGGGTTTCTTCCAGCTTACAGTTCCACAGCACAGTCCATCACCGAGGAACATCAGGGTAGGAACTCCAACAGGGCAGGAGTTTTTGCAGAGGCCATAGAGAAGTACTGTTTATGGGCTTGTTCTCTCCGGGCTTGCTCAGCCTGCTCTCTTATAGCACCCAGGACAACCCTCCCGGGGTGGCCCCACCCACAGTGAGCTGGACCCTCCCACATCAATCATCAATCAAGAAAATGCACCCCAGGCTTGCACACGGCCAATCTAGTGGAGTGTTTTCACAACTGAGGCTCTCTCTTCCACCATGACCTCGCTTGTGTCAAGTTGACATAAAACTAGCCCGCACACCAGGCTACTCGTGAACTCCTGGTCACAGACGAGCCTCCTGCCTCAGCCTTCTTAGCAGGTGGGGACTGGCTATGGCAGCCACGTTAGTTTGCCCGCTTTGTCTTTACATTTCTAAAAATAATTTCATACATCAGTCCACAGGCACCTGTACTCGTGTGCACATACCCACATGTAGACACACACATAATTAAAAATGAGAAGGTGGCCGGGCGGTGGTGGCGCACGCCTTTAATCCCAGCACTCGGGAGGCAGAGGCAGGCAGATCTCTGAGTTCGAGGCCAGCCTGGGCTACAGAGTGAGATCCAGGACAGGCACCAAAACTACACAGAGAAACCCCGTCTTGAACAACAAACAAAAGAGAGAGAGAGAGAGAGAGAAGGATAAAGCTTTAAAGAAGATGTTATCCTAAGGATGTATGTATAAGTGATGCCACATTGTCACAGGCATTTACAGCTGCTTTTGGTGAAAAATAAAAAATAAAAATAAAATAAATAAGAAAGCGTCGACTCTTCATTTGGGCCCAACTAGAAGTATGAAGAAAGCCTAGTGTCTCTGCCTCTATTCCATGTCTGCTCGACACTGCAGAGACACGTTAATCACTAAGGGTTGTCTGCCGGCCTAACCTACCTCACCCCTCTTCAAGGCTGAAGACACAAAAATAAGTCATTTTCCTAAAAGGCGGTCACCTTGGGTTCCAGAACAAAGCTTCCGGTGACAGCATCTCCCCTGTACCCACCCAACCCACTCTAAAACATCCAAGTAGTCCAGGATGGGGAGGCTATACCCGGGAGCAGGTCTTCTTATTGGCCCCCACTGGTGACGGCCGTTGTAACATCCTCTTCAGGCCCCCTAACAGAACCTGACCCGGAGCGGGACTATGTAACTAGGCTGAGCTTTTGCCCGCTGCTCCAGGTATTCTATCTGAAGCTCATATAAGCGCTACAGAGATGGCTCAGCAGTTTAGAGTACTTGGCTTGCAGAGGGCCTGGGTTCGATTCCCAGCACCCACACAGTGGCTCATGGCCACCCCTGACTGCAGTTCCAGGGGATTTGGTGCCTCTTCTGACCCCGCAGGCACCAGGTATGAATATGCTTCACATACATCCATGTAGGCAAAACATTCATGCACACGAAAATAAATAAATCTAAATTTTTCTTTTGGTTTTTTCAAGACAGGGTTTCTTTTGTGTAGCTCTGGCTGTAACCTGGAACTCTGTAAATCAGGCTGGTCTCAAATTCAAAGGTCTGCCTGTCTCTGCCTCCCCAGGGCTGGGGTTAAAGGTGTGCGCCACTACTG